CACCGCAGGCGTTTGTGAAGATTCACTGGGAGTGGATCGCGATGTTGGCGGCGCAGCTCGTGCTAACGACCGTGTTTCTGGTGTTGACAGCCACAGCGACGCATAGGGCGCGCATGCAGGTCATCAAGAGCTCGAGTCTGGCGACGCTGTGCGCGCTGGACAAGGCGACGAGGCAGCACGTGGGTGGCATCAATGACCTCGACAGCCTGAACCAAAAGGCAAAGATGCTCGGGGTTCGACTGGAGCGCGGTAGTTCTGGGGTCGCCCTGTGGCTGGGCATGCGCCGGTCAACACCGAGACCCGAGTCTTGGCAGCCGGTCCCCGGTGGATCGGCCGGGGTGTGGTGAGATGGGATTGGGACTCGGAATTATTAGGTAATATCCGATAGGCTGTATTTAATGTGTAGACTGGCCCAGTGGAGAGTTAGTATATGCTGCCAATGAGACACAGCTCGTGGTTGTGCGCCCAGAGTCAGGCTCGGGGCTCAGGCTGTCGAGAATCGAGATAGCCGCCTTTGGATGGGCAGCAATCCACCTTTTTTTTTTTTTTTTCCTGTGGGCCAGGCAGAAAGGCGCTTCTCTTTGGATTAGAAATGCGGAAGCAAAATACAGGCCCTGCAGATAATCAACAGCACTGGGCTTGAAGAGCGGCGTCGGATTGGCTGGTTAGATGCGACGCTTGATCCTTCAGAGTCCGGCCTGGCACTGGCACATGTCGTCGAACTTCGCACTGGCAGCATCCACAATGCTAACTAGTAGATAGATCCGGTTAACACCGCACTGGCCGCCTCGCGACGCGCCATCATCAATCATGGTTTTGCGATCTGCAAGTTGCTTGGTCTGTCTATTGAATAAAGGACTCCATGATGCAATACCGGGTTGCACGCCGTATGGAGTTCTCCTGCCTTGGAATGTTGCCAGTGGCGGATTCAGCTCGGTTTCCGAGCAGAGATTTTGCGGTATGCTGGAGGAAAACGCCGTATGGGTAGTGCTCACGGTGCTGTATCGCGGAGATAGCAACAAACCGCCCAGTCGAGTCGCGAAGCGTCGCAAAGCGGGCCATGAATGGTTCCCCCCAAGTCCCCCGCAAAACTCGATCGGCTCGGCTCGATCGGTCGCAGGCTCGGCGGAAGTTGGAAGGAAGTGAGAAAGAGGAGGGTTAGGGTTGCTGTTGTATTCAAATCTTTTGGTTAAATCCGACGCGACAGAAATGCCCCGGAGACCAAGGCGTGTGAATCCTGCATCAATCATGGATCAAATGGGGTGCAAATCACGGGATCTGGATCCTGTCGCGGAAACGAGAGGGGGCTAGACTGGATGTCGCTAGCAGCGGTTGCATGGTAGGTCGTAAAGGTAGGTGTGCCGTTTCGGTTCGTAAGCCGCTAGGGGCGGACTAAGGAAGCGGGCGAACGAAGACCTAGAAATGGGAGGAGAGCTGGGGGGCCGGCTCGCGCGCTCGCGCTCTCGGCGTTCGGACGCCTGATCCCGAGGAGCAGGCACGGGCTGCCGACCATCTGAATAATTCAGACAGAAGCTTGCAAAGCAACACACACAAACGGTCACAGTGCCCGTAGCACAACAGCAATCGAGACCGTCGATTTTCGTCTGTCTCTCTTATTTATTAAGGAAAGGCGCCCCGTCTTCAGCGGCTCTCTCCATTCTGTTCTCCCCCGCATCCATCCCTCCATCGCTCTGCCTTCCCACTTTCCTAGCTCCGTCCGACTCCACAGCAGAATCCGCTTTCCTTAAATCGCCAGGTCTGCCCAGTCGACTGCGTTTTGCATCTTGCACTTGCACTTGCTATCACACCTGTGCGAGTGCCGTGTCCCCCCCCCCCTCCCCCTCCCCCCCCCGGTGTGTGGTGTGCGTGTGTGTGTGTCCACGAGTGCGAGTGGACGGCGCAACCCCGCGAATTGAATCAGCCACCTGCAACATCAAATCCTGCGACACCAAACAACGAGGTACGAAAAAAATAAAAAAAAATAAAAAATATACGACGGTCCGACCAGAAGAAAAAAAAAATGGCAGCACCGGCGACCGGCCAAGCGCCAAGCGCCGACATCTCCAAGACAAACCTCGACCCAACCGATCTCTCCGAGAGCGACGACACCATTCAAACTAATTCCGACCCCGAGAAAGCCACTGTGTCTGGTCCCGACGCCGAAGCGGGGCGACCCAAGCCCGCGGCTCATGTACCTCCTAACGGCGGAATCTTGGCATGGATCCAAGTTGCCGCCAGCTTCGCCATCTTCTTCAACACCTGGGGCGTGCTAAATACATTTGGCGTTTTCCAGACCTACTACGAAACGGGCGTTCTGTTTGAGCAGACATCATCCAACATCTCATGGATCGGCTCGATTCAGGCGTATTGCGTCTTGGTTGTCGGCATCGTTGCGGGACCCATTTATGATCGGGGCTACTTCCGGCAGTTATTGGTGGTGGGGTCGTTCCTGATTGTCTTTGGCTTCATGATGCTCAGCTTGTGTAATGCCTACTGGCAAGCCATCCTTGCCCAGGGCTTCTGCATCGGTATCGGCGCCGGCCTGATCTTCATCCCCTCGCTCGCCATCCTCCCCGCCTACTTCAGCAGCCGTCTCGGCCTCGCTATCGGCCTGGCCGCCTGCGGCTCTTCGTTCGGCGGCGTCATCTACCCCATCGTCTTCTACCGCCTCCTCAACGAGGTTGGCTTCGAATGGGCTGTGCGCGCCGTCGGCTTCATTGCCCTAGCCACGCTGATGGTTCCCGTCTTCTTCATGCGCATGGGCGTAAGGCCTGTCCGCCCGCGCGCCATATTCGACTGGAGCGCGTTTACCGACTGGCCCTTTGTTCTGTTTGTCCTCTTCACCATGTTGGGCTTCATCGGCCTCTACGTCATGCTGTTCTACATCTCGTATTTCGCCTTTGCCACGCAGATCGCGACGGCTGAAATGTCCTTCTACCTCGTCCCCATCCTCAACGTCGCCTCCATGTTGGGCCGAACCCTCCCCAACGCCCTGTCTGACAAGACAGGCCCCATGAACAGTAAGCCCCATCTCCTCCCCCTTCCCCGCAGTAACCAGCTAACATGGACCAGTCCTTGCCCCCGGCGCCATAATCTGCGCGGCCCTTACCTACGCCATGATTGGTGTCAATTCGCTCGCTGGCATCGTCGTCATCACCATCCTCTACGGCTTTTTCTCGGGTGTCTTTATCGCCCTGCCGCCTGTCTGCTTCGTGCGCCTGACGGCTGACAAGAGCAAGGTCGGCACGCGCATGGGCATGGGTTTCGCCATCCTTGGATTTGGTGTATTGACCGGTGGGCCTGGAGGCGGTGCGATTTTAGGGACCGACTTTACGAATCTACACTGGACAAGTCTTTGGGTATATGGTGGGACGGTCACACTGGGTGGGGGTGTTTTGTTGTTGGCGCTGAGGGGATGGTTGTCGGGGTGGAAGTTGCTGGCCAAGATATGATAGTATACTAAGACCCTAATCGGCTCAACGACTGGCAGTCCCCAGGACCACCAAAAAGTAGCCCAAAAATGCTAAGCCAGAATTTTTCAATGCGTCTATGCCTGTTTTGGCACCAGTTTTTCAACACCGCCACACCAAAAGATTCCGCCCCCCCTGTCTTGGAAGTGCCGGCTAATGCAAGGTGCAGATCGCACCTGTTACGGTAACCAAAGTCAGCAAAATGCCAGAATTCTGCCATGAAGAAGAAAAGAGTCAGAAGTTGGGGCGCCTGGGAATCTCGGGCTTATTAAATCATGACAATGTGCATCCCTCGTTCCTGCACACACATATCTCGTCCTTACCGATGTCTTCCTACTCTTGCACATCTATTTGAGGTAGGCGACACCTCATCCTCACTCTTAGTCCTTCCTAAACCTTGGTCTTAAAGACATGCAATCTCTGTTTCTTTCTGCTAGGCTCTTTCCTGGTGAACCCGGTCCTGCCCTTCGACACAACAACTTTGGGCCTCCACAACGGACCCAGCTGGTGAAGGGCTGGAGCCTTTCCCGTAACACTTTATGTTTTTCGTAAAGTGCTTTGCTTTGCTGGTTGGCTGAACCTTCGATCGTCTGGGTAGCGTTGGCTCCGACTTGGCATCCCATCGAGACGGGAAACAGACCTGGAGGATGTGGAAAGAGCGTTCTAGGCATTATGTTAGCTTTTGTGATTATCGGCTAGGGTTGTTGTGAACCTTGATTGCCTCGAAAAGAGCTGTCCGAAGTTCTCTGGCTGGCGAATCCCCAACCACCGCAACAAGGCATTCCCGGGATAGAAAGGGAAAGAGATATAGCGGGTATTGGGCAATTCTGGGCAGATGCATCCTGCCGAGGAAGGTAGGAACGATCTGGTCATCTAAATTAACTAGGGAATGTGCCGACCTTTGGCCGGTGTCAGTTGGATCCGTGGATAGGATTTAAGTAAAAGATCAATTTTAAGGTAAAAAAGCGAAAATTGAAGCCAATTGCAGGCCTAGGCTAGCCACAACGCAGTTAAATCCATTCCTTACTTGGTAAAAATTTTCCTCCCACACACCACACATTCTGCAGCCACTCACCACGCCGATTGACACAGCCACCGCGGCCCATTACAGCCGGTTACACCGGTTACCCTAAATCTAGTAACCCATCGGACCGCCACCGGCCGCAAGACCACGGGTAGTCTGTGTAGCTTTGATAGAAGTGAAAGTAAAGGCGGAGTTAATCCTCCGTATGTCCTTGAGAAAGTTTACGCAATCGTCCGTACCGCCCCGTAAGTACGTTTCTAAGAATGCCGGCAATTCTTTCCACGGGTTGATGTGGACTTGGCCACCTCTGCAACACTTGCCAAAGGCGGGATTCGTTGTTGTCGAGGCCTGCAACACTGTTAGCACAGCCGTGGGCTTCTCGCCCTGCCAGTGTAACACCCCGCAATGAGTACATTCTACATCCATGGCCTTGAGGTCATGCATATTATGATAGTTGGTCGATTCGAATAAAAACATATAATTATAAAATCATATAATTATATGAAGCTTTTATAGCTCAATGGCAGAGCATAATACTGTTAATATTATGATAGATGTTCGATTCATCTTAGAGGCTCTTGGTGGTATTACTATAAATTTAATTATATTAAAATACCTATATAGATTTAAAATAATTGTATATTAAAATATAAAGATTCAAATGACTAATTTAATTAGAAGCAATTTTCAAGATCATCCCTTTCATTTGGTATCTCCTTCTCCTTGACCTTTATACACTAGTATATCTCTATTAAGTTTAACAACCAGTGGTGCATTATCTATGCATAATTTTAATAATGCTTATTATTTATTTTATATAGCATTAATACTATTAATTTCATCTATGTCTTTTTGATTTAGAGATATAATATCCGAAGGTACTTTTTTAGGTGACCATACTTTAGCTGTGCAAAAAGGATTAAATTTAGGTACTATTCTTTTTATAGTATCTGAAGCTTTATTTTTTTTGGCTATATTTTGAGCCTTCTTTCATAGTGCATTAACACCTACTGTAGAATTAGGAGCTCAATGACCTCCTATAGGTATAGAACCTGTAAATCCTTTTGAATTACCTCTTCTTAATACTGTGTTACTTTTATCTAGTGGTGCTACAGTAACTTATGCCCATCATTCTTTAATTCATGGAGAAAGAAAAGGAGCTTTATATGGTTCAATTGCTACTATTTTACTAGCAATAATATTTACTGCTTTCCAGGGTGTTGAATATAGTGTATCTTCTTTTACTATTAGTGATGGTGCTTTTGGTACTTGTTTCTTCTTTTCTACAGGCTTCCATGGATTACATGTTATAATAGGTACTATTTTTTTAGCTGTAGCATTATGAAGAATATTTGCTTACCATTTAACAGATAATCATCATTTAGGGTTTGAAGGAGGTATATTATATCTCCATATTCTCTACCCCGTCCCGTGGGTATCCAACCTTTCGGCTCCCCCGCGCGCAATGGGTTCCGTACACCTGGTAACGGGGGCAACACGGGGATTGCTCTTGGGCCGGCAGCCTCCGCAGCATCGAGCGCCTCAGCATTGCGAGCCCGGGTAACGCGGCACCCATCATCGTTAGCAATGACGCGGTTCTCCTTCCGCTTTGCAAGGCATTGACGGCATGTTGCAAGCGGCCGCCCGTCACGGTTGGTATCAAACGCGTCGTACGGCTTATTGCTCTTACAACCGCTACATACCTTTTCCGGAGTTGCAATAGGGCCACGGCGTCTTCGAGACCAACTGCCCACCACTGTTGAAGGTGAAAGTGTTGGCTTGCAAGGCTGCAAGTGGTGGGCAATCGGTGCGGGCCGGCCTTGCAATCGGTACGCAGGCCGGTGTTGCAAGTGGTGGGCATTCAATAGGTTGGCAGTGGTGTGGCTTGCTTGTAGTGCGGCAGAATTCTTGAATGTACCCTTTTGCCGTTTTCAGACCCCTAGGAAGGAGGGTCCACCGGAACACCCTGGCGAAGGCAAGGAAGGCCTACTACCAGGGGGCCATAGACGAAGCCACCACCCGAGGCGTGTGGAAGGTACTGGCGTCGGGAAAAGAGCCGCAGACACTGGCCATACCGGCGCTCGTGCCGAGAGAGGGCGGCCCGTCCAGGGTCACGACGGAAGAAAAAGCCCAGCTAATCTTCGATGAGCTAGTAGCCTTCGACCCCGGGGAAGACGCGGCGGGTCTCACGGGCCCGCCCCAGGGACCCCTCCTACCGTTCAACACGACGGTGACTCAGGAGGAGGCGACCCTAGCCTTCGCGAAGGCCAAAGTCACTACCCCGGGAGAGGACGACGTGAAGACGGAGATGGTCAAGGCGGCGTGGTGAGAGGACGGCCCCGGCCTAAGAACCGTCTCACCTTTCGGCGAAGCAATTCGTACCCTCTACCAGGGTACCTAGAGGTAGGGTACTACCCGCACAGGTGGCCCACGGCAGAGGTAGTCCTAATCCCGAAGCCAGGCAGGGACCCGAGCACGACGAAGTCCCTAGGCCCATCGCCCTCATCCCGACCTACGGTAGGGGGCTCGAGAGGATCGTGGCGGCGAAGGTCGCGGGAACAGCGCTAGTACAGGGAGTCTTCGACGTCAACTAGTGTGGGGATATACCGGGCCGCTTGGCCACGGACTCCCTAGCCGCCCTTGTGTACGACGTCGAAGATGGGATCAGGTGTGGAAAGACAGTCGGGGTCCTTAAGGGAGATATCGTAGGCGGCTTCAATAACATCTAGATGATAAGACTCGCCAGCGGTATACGGAGACAAGGATAGTTATCAACCCTCCTAAGCTTTATCCTTAACTTCCTAACTATAAGAAGCGTGGTCCTAAGGTTCGAGGAAGTAAAGAGGCTTACGAAGTCTAACCTCTTATAAAGCTTTCTCTTGTTACCGATTCTCTTTAGCCTATATCTTAAGACCTTAATTAAGGACGGGCCGGGTAGGTATCTCTATATAGATAATCTCCTGGCTAAAGTAGAGAGGGATTCGGAAGAGATAGTTAGGACTAACTATATAAGGAGATTAGCTAAGATTGAGAGGTAGGCTAAGGAAAATAATATCTTCTTCAACTTAGTTAAGTACGAATATATTTTCTTTACCTCAATAAAAGGCTTATCCTTAACTAACTTGTTATTAGCTACTATTCTAAACCTCGTAGTAAGAAATAGGTAGGTAAAGTATGATCTACTTCTAAAGTAGCTAAGCTTATATCTTAACTATAGGCTCTTCTTTAAAAATTACTATGTAAAGGTAGTAACTAAAGGGGCGGGGATACTTAGTGTCACATCCCACCTCGTGCTAAGAGGTCATGTGACAAAGGGCGCAAGAGCACGCGACAGAACAGCCAATCAATGAAGATGCTCTCGCGCTCCCCCCGCTCCGCCTCAGAGCAACAGAGCAAGCAGGGCGAGATGCTCTCACACTACCTCTTCTCTCCAGCAGAGCAACAGAGCAAACAGGTCAAAGGATATAAGTTACTTGGTATAACTACCCTCTAGATAGATATAAGTAGCCAACGTGTTAGACACCTTGGAGCGTGAGGATTCCTGTTCCTCACGCAAGCAATTATATTCTGTTGTATCCCAAAGTGTTACCCAACTCTGGTGATAGCAATCTGTTTGACAGAGTGTGACATCCCGTCTGAGAACCTTGCCTTCAAATTGGTCATTCCCCTTCCCCAATCAGGCGTTCTGCCTTGCGATCTGTCATTCAACACTGGGTAGTCCGCTACACAGTATACAGGTTGCAACACTTAGGTTACTTCGGTACCTAGGTAACTGTGCTAAAGGCTTACTATTAGATTTAGTGATAAAGGAGGTAATAGTAATTGTAGTCCTAAGGATATTATATAGGTCGAAAGTGTGGTAAAAGAGCTTAGAGAGGTACGGCTAAGAAAGAAAAAGATGTAACTAGAGAAAGTCCTTAGGAACGTCCTCAAAGCTACCTTCCCGTACTAACGAATAACCCATATACCGGTCCTCTATATTAAAAGTAGGATCTCGCCGATCTACCTCCTCCTCGAGAACAAGAGACGGGAGTATACTACTAAGATCCTTAACCTAAGTGCATAGGATTAAACATCAATCAATCGATTTGCCGTTTTCAGGGTTATTTCAGGGTTATGTATGGAGATGTAGTGCACAGAAGACGCTTCTTAGTCGTGCACCGTGACGCCCTCAAATTAAATCTTGATATCTTGGGAAGGAAGCGTCTAACTCAGCCGAAATAGGTAGCACCATCTTCTAGCACCATCTTCTAGCACCATCTTCTGGCATTCTAGGAGAAGCATTCCGGGAGGAAAGAGAAAATATCCTCTGCCCATCTCTGCATCATCTTGCATTGCACTGTCGTCTTTTCGTCTAGCCGTCTATCCTGCGCTGCTGTCGTCTTCTCGTGTTGTCATTGTCGCTGTCGTGTCGCCATCTTCCCGTCTCATCACCGCCGCCTGTATAATCACGCAAGATGAAGTCCATTCTCATCATAGTCCTCCTCGCCATGTTAACCTACCCCGCTCTCGTCCTCGCCCTCGCCATACCGACCCCTATTACCCTCACAACCACCACCACCGTGACGGTGCCAGTCCCGCCATTCTTCACGGTAACCACAACAGTCACTGCCGCCATCACCGCCATCACCGCCACAGCCACCAAAACGGTCACGAAAACCGAGGCCAGCATACCTATCCTCTTAAACCGTTCCGGGCGGCGGCCTGTCAAACCGTTACCCGGACCAACGACCATTTATGGGTGCTTTGTGGTCAAGAAAATTGACAGCCGATGAAGTAGCCGCCGTCAAAGCTCTATCACTGTCGTGTCTCTGTGGACTTTGGCGGTCGACATGTTGCAGAAGCCGGATTTTGGCTCAGGACACCCCAATCTTAGAGACGCTGCCAATACCCTGCTGGGCGGAAAAACATCACGCAAACGACACCAGCTCCGATTGAGGCGGGATCCCGTCCCGATTCCGACGCCTGCAACAGTACCCGCAAAGAGAAAATTCTTAAAGTAGTTCATACCGCTCTCGAGATGAATTCTCTCCGGCAAGTTCATTGTCGACACGATGACTTCAGTTTCGAGCTTAACGCTCGAGTTGACCGGCCTCTTGTGCTCAGACATCCTGGCTTTAGGATACCTAGCTTGGAGGAATCAACCACTCTTCTGGCCATCTTTTCGTAGAGGTTCTACCAAGGTCAAACTGGCCATGATTGACGACTCTTGTGTGACTTTGTCGATGATGATGCCTTCGCCGGCTTGGGGGGTTCCCGAGGAAAGGCTTTCCATGATTTTCCCATGACTTTCCCATGACTTTCCCATGACTTTCGGGGGGGCTCCCATGACTGAGGGCGGGCGAGGTTGAACTTGGGTAGTGGTTTTCTGTTTGGATTCATGGCTGGCCGGGATGGTGTGAGCCGTCGGTCGGTAACCCCCCCCCCCCCCCCCCCTTGAGGTTTCCTCTATCATTTCTTCTGTCAGAACAATTCTGATGACAAGATTGCCCATGTCTTTTTCCAAAACTCGTTCCTTTTCTTCTTCTCAGGGATACTAAGGCACATCAGCGCCTTTTTTCGGGGATTCTCTTTATG